CACCGCACCGGGGCAGGTGCTACTCTTGTCATGCTGTGTGTATATTTGTAGGGTTTTCATTTTCAGGACCATCGACGCCTTGGCGCCGCTTCAAGGGAGAAAGGGAAGGGCAGGAAAAGACAGGAGGCCAGATAGCTCAGTTCGCCTCCCCTCGTCGTCCGCACACACATGCGAGGCACGGGCTCAAGGAGGGTGTCCTTTGCACGTGCTCCGCGGCCACCGTCGCGGCCGCCCCCCTGCCCATCGGAGCAGGCTGGCTGATTCCCGTTTGGGGCCTCTCTTCACCGGAAGGACCGAATCCGGGCATTTTTCGAAGGGGCACCCGATTGCGGGTGTTTGCGCTTGTTGTTGCCAGACGTGAAGGAGGTTGGGGCGGTTTCCTCGTCCAAGTTCATGTCATCGAGGGACTCGCGGGAGTCCTCGTCCTTGGCGGCTGCCGCAGCTGCAGCCTGAGCGGCGCGAGTCGACAGCAACGGCCCCCGGCGGCCCGCATGCGTCTGGTGGAAAAAGCAGTACACCGACTGGGCATACTGCACATGGCCGAGGGGATCCTCCGCCAGGGGGGGCTTGCCCACCTGAGCTTGAGAGGCCTGCAGGCCGGATGTGGCACGCTGCCGGTCCACCCGATCCAGACACCCGAGCGAGTCGAGCGACCAGAAGGACTCATCCACCTCGAAGGCGGTCACCGACGCCGCCGCATACTTGTCCAGGTGCGCCGAGGCCGCGGTCGCCCGGTTGGTCAGGGCCAACAGGGCTCCGGTGGATGCAAGCACCGGAGTCGCCGGGGCCGCAGCCGCGGCAGAGCCCTTCGTGCCCTTGCTGGAGGCCGCGGCGGCGGCGGCGGCGGCAGAGGCCGGAGTGGCGATGGCGGCCTGATCCACCACCAGCGGAGTCTTGCGGGTGATGCCGGAGGACGAAACAGCCGTGCTGGAGGAGCTCGGCACAAGCGGCTGGGAGTGGTTGGGGGATGCTTGCGCAAGGCCGCCCGATTTCCGGTTCATGAACTGCAGTAGACAAAGCAGGAGAGCGAGAAAGCGAGAGAGAGAGAGAGCAAGAGAGCGAGGAAGCGACACAGCAAGGGAGCCATGGGGCAAGAGCAAGAGGGGGCGAGGAGGGGACAAGGAAAGTATGGGTCAGAGAGAATGGGAGGCGCCGGGCATGCAAGAAGGGGGGCATGTGGGCGCGAGCGCACCTTCATCCCAAGAATTCGCTTGGAGAGGCCCGACTGGGGGGCCTTGGTAGGGTCACTCATGGCGAAGGCCGGAGGACGGAATGCAGTGGTGTCCTGCGCGGGCGTGATAGGGGAGTGACGTGCGGAGGGAAGAGGGCAATAGGGGGATGGTGTGGATGGGGGAGGCGGAGGGCCACGGAGGCGGCGGGAGGGAGGGGGGAGGTGGTGGTGGAGAGGTGTGGGGCCGCGCCTGACGGTCTCAACAGCAGGTGGGGCGCAATTTTCTCTCGGCCGAAGAGGGGTGGGGCGGTGGCGGTGACGGCGGCTCCGGCGACGGCGGCGACGGCGGCGAGGGCGGATCGCAGCATGTTCCCTCGCATAGGATGGACGCGAGGTGGAACAAGAGGCCAGGGGCGAGGGCCGGGCCCGGGGGCGCACGGGGGGAAGCAGAGATGTACCTCGGGGCGCGCGCGTGTGTGCGGCCCGCGTCCCGACCATCAATGCGTTGGCACAAGACGCATGGCCGCCCCGGTCGCCTCGGGCACAGTCCCTCGGGTGGAGATCCGGGGATATTTTTCGGCCCGCGGACCGGCGCGGGGCGGGGCCATCCGCCGCCTCGCTGCCCATGCAACAGAACACCCTCCCTGGTAGCACCAGCCCTCCTTGCTCGCCGCCCCTCCTCCTCCTCCTCCTCCTCCTCCTCCTCCCTCTTTGCCTGTGCCCTGCCTCGCCTTTCGTCCGCCTCGTCCGTTCATTCCCCTTTCCGGCTCCCTTTCGGATCCCCCCTGCTCTCCCTTCAGCCATGACGCGCGTCACCCGGATGTTCGGTGCGCCGAAGAAGTCCTTCGAGGACTCCACCTCGTGGGATGAGTTCCAGCGCCAGCGCAAGGCCGCCGGTCCGCCGCCGAAGACCGCGGCCGAGGCGGTGGCCCAGCGCAAGGCCCTGCGCGCGCAAAAGGCCAAAGAGCAGATGGCTTCTCCCAGTGCCGGAGCCAGTGCCGGGCCCATGAGCAAGGCCGAGCGTGAGCGTGAGCGCCGGCGCCTGCGCGCCGCCAAAAAGACCATCTGCTTTCAGTGTCGGGAACGTGGCCATGCGGTGCGTGATTGCCCGTTGACAGCTGGCGGTGTTGCCGGCGTCGACGGCGCCGACCGCAAGCTCATGCAGGAGGCCGGTGCCGCGGTGTCCGGGATCTGTTTCCACTGCGGGGCCGACGATCATGTTACGCGGTCCTGCACGGCCTCGGGTGCGTGGCCGCAAGCCAGAAAGCGCAAAGACGCACCTTCACGCGCCTGAAACACACACCTCGCCCTCGGAAGCGCCCCCCGCTTAACCTTGCCGCCCCTTGGCTGGCCCTTCCGCGCGCGACTCACCTCCCCCGCTTTGCGTTTGCAGTCAAGAACTTCGGTTTTGCTCTGTGTTTCACTTGCGGCCAGCAGGGGCATCTGTCCGGCGCCTGCGAGAAGAACCCCAACGGCCTGTACCCCGATGGTGCGCGTACCTCCCCCGCAGCTGGCCTTTTGCCGCGCGAAACGTAGTCTAACACAAGCGCTCCCCCCCCCCCACACTGCCCCCTCCCCTGCCACTGCCATGCAGGTGGCGGGTGTCGTTTCTGTGGTGACAAGCGCCACCGCGCGGTTGACTGCACAGTCAAGAAGGATGGCACGTCGGCGGTGATCTCCCCCCCCCCTCCCCCTCCCTGTCGCAACTGCCCGATGTCTGTGGCCTATTTCTGACCCGTGTCTGTCGTTTGCCCTCCTCCCTTTTTAGCCAAGCTTGCACGGGCCCAGGAGCGCAAGGGCCCCGCCAACACCGATGGCTTTGACCTCTCCAAGGAGCTCATTGACCAGGATCCCGACCTGCAGCTGGGCGTGGTGTCCAACCACAAGCGCGGCGACGGGACCCCTGTTGGCAGTGCCGTTTCCGGCGCCGGCGCCGGCGCCACCGCCCCTGCGGCGCCCGTCGCCAAGAAGCCTGTTCGGGTGGTCAAGTTTTGAGTTCTCCTTGCCGATCACTCGTCCTTTTCTTTCCACCTCCCCCAACGGGGCCTTGCATGTTCACATACAAATATATGCCCACCGCATCTGCTCCATCTTCTTCCCACTGCCTCTCTCCCCTCCCCCCCATGTGGCCATGCTCTGCCAAATGGTTATGGTTATGTGTTGCTTTTTTATTGCGGAATCGGTGCATGCACGCACGCATGCGTGTAAATGCAACAGGTCCCCTGGAAGGATGGCCCAAATGCATGGACATCAGGCACATCCACAAACGGCCATCACACACGGCCGGAGGACCCCCTCCTTTTCCCGTCGCCCCCCCCCTTCTCCCAACAAGGACAAAGGGGAGCCGAAAGGAAAAGCCACCAATGGGCGAGGGGCGCGCTTACTGGTTGAGGCCAGCAACAGCGGGCAGGATGGTGCCCTCGCAGTCGCCGAAGCCAATGCGGAAGCCATCGCCCTGGGCAGCACCGCGGATGACCACGGAGTCGCCATCCTGCAGGAAGGTGCGCTTGACGTCGTCCGGGAACTGGATGGGGTTGGTGCCGCGCCAGGTGAGCTCCAGCAGAGAGCCGAAGGACTCCGGGGTCTGTGTGCGTGTGCGGCAGAGGGGAGAGCGAGCGGAGAGGCAGGTGAGTAGGTGCGCGGCGATGGGGTGGCGAGACCCATGTCAGAGGGCGGGCGCATGCATGCGAAGAGGGGGGCGAGGGAGGGGCGAGGCCGGGAGGGGGGGACGGCGACCGCACGCACCGGGCCGGAGATGGTACCGGAGGCCAGGAGATCACCGGTCTGGAGGTTGCACCCGTTGATGGTGTGGTGGGCCAGCTGCTGGCGCATGGACCAGTAGAGGTGCTTGAAGTTGGTGAGGCAAATGCGCTGGTAGTCGGCGGACTCCTTGGGCTTGAGCAGGGCCTCCAGCTGGATGTCATAGGTGGCCGGGCCGTTGTAGGTGAGGTAGGGCATGGGGGCCGGGTCGGTCTGGGCCGGGCCGTTGGTCAGGAAGGGCTCCAGAGCCTCCAGGGTGACGACCCAGGGGGAGACGGTGGTGCCGAAGTTCTTGGCCAGGAAGGGACCCAGGGGGACATACTCCCAGCGCTGGATGTCACGAGCGGACCAGTCATTCATCAGCAGCAGGCCGAAGATGTGGTCATGGGCGCGCTCGATGGGGACCGGCTGGCCGAGCTTGTTGCTGGGGCCCACCAGGAAGGCCACCTCCAGCTCGATGTCCACCTGCTTGGAGGCGGAGAAGACCGGGACCTGGGCATCCATGGGCAGGACCTGGCCACTGGGCCGGGTCAGGGGGGTGCCAGTGACGACGACCGACGAAGCGCGGCCATGGTAGCCGACCGGCAGGTGCAGCCAGTTGGGCATCAGGGCGTTGTCCTTACCGCGGAACATGATGCCGACATTGGTGGCGTGCTCCTTGCTGGAGTAGAAGTCGGTGTAGTCACCAATGCGAGCCGGCATGTGCATGGAGACGCCGGTGCGGTGGATGAGGACCCGGGCGCGGAGGGCCTCGTTGTCGCGCAGGGTCGGCTCATCGATGGACAGGAGCTGCTGGATGCGGCGGCGGGCCTCAGTCCAGGCCGGGCGGCCAAGGCTCATGTAGTGGTTCAGGGTGGTGGACTGGAAGGCGGCGGTGGCCTCCGGGCCGAAGGTGCTGCAGCACGAGAAGAGACCCTCGGCGGCCAGGGCAGCCAGATCGACAACGAACTCGCCGATGGCCGTACCCACGCGGGGGGTGGCCTGCACACAGGACGGCAGCTGGTCAGTCACAAGTGCACACAGGAGCCCGGAGCATGGGGCAGGGGCAGGGGGGGGGAATGTGCGCACGTCGGCCTCGGTGGAGAAGATACCGAAGGGGATGTTCTGGATGGGGAAGTCCGACTCGGGGGCAACGTCCACGAAGGACTTGAGGTTCTTGGCGGCGGCCATGGCGGCGGTGGCGTCGGTCATGGTGGGGTATTCGGCACGGGCGACACTGGGAATGAGGGGGCAGCGGTCAGCGGGGAGGCCGTCAGCCGGGCGAACAGCATTGGGTGAATGCGGGTCGGCGGTCGCCGGGCAGGGTGCAACCGCCGGTAGCAGCAGGACCAGAAGTAGGAGTGGCAGCAGCGGCCAGAGCCGGCCGCAGAGAGAGGCCATCATTGTCATGCGTCTGTGTGCGTGGTGGGGAGTTCTTGGCCGGCACGTCGGTCAGCGACCCTCCTCTTAGCATGCACAGAAAGACGGACACACAGACGCACGGCACGTGCTCTTGCTACCTGGCCCTGTCCTGCGGCGGGCGGCGGCGAGGGAGCGGGCGTACAGTCGAGAGGGGACAAGTCAACGGAGGCAGGGGTGGGCTGTCCAAGGTCTGAGGCCCGGACGGGGCATTGCGGCGCCGGCCGAAAAGGGATGCGATCCATCTCGGACACGGCCTCTCACCAGCGCAGTCATAGGGAGGCTGCCCGCCCCCGCCCTCCGCCGGAATGGCCGAGAGCCCCACACCGATGTCAAGTGCGTACTCTCAGAGGGCACCCGGCCGGGCATGCTGTTGCGTGTTGGACACGCCCCCGGCCGGGGGTTCCCCGGGTTCCCGGTCCTTCCCTCGAAATCCACTGATCGTCTGGATCCTTCCACCGTCGGAGGGCGATCCGGCAAACTGAAAGCGTCAAGTAGTCGTGCCACGCTCCCCGGACTGTACCAGGCTGCCGGCCGGATGACTAGTCGGGGGGCCACCGGCCGGCGAGGGTGCTTTGTTTCCGGCCCAATGTCTTGCCTTGCTTGTGGGCAGATGTCCGCCGTCCCCGGCCGGTTGGTGGTCCAGCGCGGGAGGGGGCCGCCAGGGCTCGGATGCGGGCCGAATATTTGCCCACTCTTCCGACCTCTCCTCATACCTCGCCGCCCCCCCCCCCCCCCCCCCCCCCCCCCTCCCCCCCCCCCCCCCCCCCCCCCCTGGCCCCAATTTAGCCGGCCTGACGCTCCTCACCTCCAGCAGGCATGTCCAATACCAACGTTCTTCCATTGGCACGAGAGGAACAACATTGCGCTGTCCCATGTACCGGATCACGGGAGGCGGGGATCCCGAGGCGCATTTCGCGCAGGCATATTCTCGCGCTTCCCTCCCGAAAATGGTGGCTATTCATGGGAGAAAGAGGGCGCCCCGCGGGGCCGGTGGACGCCTGGGCCGGGGGAAGGGCGGCAGCTCAGTACGCGGGCTACGCTCGCTGGGCTTCTCACTCCCCAGGTGTGTGTGCGTGTGTGTGTGTGTGTAAGGTGTCTACGGTGCAGGTGTGTGGTGCATTCGTGGGTGATCTTGTCTGGCTGTCTTGGCCGGGCGGAAGGGGCAATCGGCAAGCATGGGGGGGGTGTCTTGCGCGGGTGGCCCTGCTCCGAGTGGTGGGGCTATCTTGGGCACCGGAGGGAGGACGCGCCGTCGGGCATGCCGGCCTCGGTTTTCCGGCCGAGGCCGGCGAATTGGGGCGGGCAAGTCCGCCTGCCCGGCTTGACCAGCTGGCCTGTTTTTGGCCACGGAGGGGATGTCCCCTCGAGTCTCGGAAGAAGGCGGTCCCAGACCGGCGCGTGTTGGGTACTGCTTGCCCCCCCCCCCCCCCCCCCCCCCCCGCCCCCGCCCATGGGCCCCCTGATAAGGCCACCCCCCCGCCCCCCCCCCCGCGCCAATGTGGCTCCCCGGAGAGGGCCACGGCCCGCTCTGGAATCCAGCCCCCCCCCGCCCCCCGCCGGGCGCGGAGGGGGCGGCCGTTGTGCGAGTTCCATCAACGCATGCTCGAGAGCAGGAGGGCCAGAGACCGAGACAAGGCATTTCTCTATGGCCGCCTTTCTCCCACTGCCGGCCGGTGTGGCGGGCGGGCCCTGCCTCGCCTCCGCTGGAGGGCTGGCCATCTTGTTGGCTCTCGCACCCGGCCCAGGCCGAGGCGGGCCTGCCCGCCACACGGGCATCCTCCGCAGTCCCGACCGCCGCCGCCGCCGCCGTCGTCGCCGCATGCCTGATGTCATATGTAGCAGGCCCGAGATGCGGTTTGAGGGGTTCGGCCTTCCGGGCCGCTCCACCGCAACCGCGCCCCTGCCCATCGGTCGGCCTCCCCATGGACCATGGGGGACGGCCGGGGAGGTGGGGGTATCTGCTCCCGGTGGATGTCCGCTTGCCTCTCCGGTCACCGCGCCCCATGGGGGGGGGGGGGGGGGGCCTTCTCTTGCCCCCGGACGAGTTCACGTCCTGTCTTTCTCTCGCGGGCTCTTGGGGCCCGGAAGGCGCACGCGGGTGCAAGTGGCGCGCGCCCCCGCGCATGTCCGAGCCTCGACACGATCCACGCGTGTCCCCAAGAAGGGGGGCTCCAACGGCCTGTCTGGGAGGCCGGGCGCGTGAGGACTATTTCCCCTTGCCCCCGGGAGAGATCTGCGCCCCCAGGCGCATTCCTGGGGCCGCAGGCGGTCCGGGGGCGGCCGGGCCGGCTTTCACACGGATGACCACCAAAGGGCAAGCCCGGCGCAGTTGTGAAATCCAAGCATCCCAGCCGCCCCCCCCCCCCCCCCCCTCGTTCTCCCCGTACGAAGGCCGGGAGAACGGCCCGCCCTGTATATCGCGGGCCGGGCAGCTCGCACCTGACCTCACACAGCCCGCGGCCAAAGCCGGTCAGCATAACCGCCCCATATGCTCCCCTCCCCTCAGGTCTGGGGCCGGGGCTGCGGTCATTCCCCGCCCCCCCCCCCCCTCCCGTCGGAGGGGCGGTCTGGTTTCATAGAATCGCCACTAGGCTCCAGAGACCCGCTGCTCCCTCCGAGCGAAGCGTGCTTTTGGCCGGGGGCGCCGTGTCGCACGTACGTGAATGTGCGCGGGAACAATGAAGGCGCGGCCGGTCCCCTCCCATGCGCTGCCCCCTCGCCCCTGCGTGCACACTTTCGCCCAGGCAGCCGTGTCATATCTTGGTCAGTCGGCATCACCGACCGCGGCTTCCAGCACACCAACGGCCTATCTCCGCCGTTGGCTGTCCCCCGGTCGCCCAGGGCACCTGGCCCGTGAGAGGCCTGTCCCCCCCCCCCCCTCGGCACAAGCTCGCCGTGGAAACGCCCCCCCGGGGAGAGATAAGCACTTGACTGTGTCATTCGCCGGGCTCTGTCTTCTCGGGGGGGGGGGGGGGGGGGGGGCAGCGTTCCGCCAGCGGGTTTCAGGGACGTCCGACAACCCCCCGCTCCCGCCCCCGCCCCGGCCCCCGCCCCTCGTCCTCCCTCATTGGGCGTCTGATGGCTTTATCTTTGCCTTCCAGTGCAAGGTCGCGCCTTTTTCAAACAGCCTGGCTCCCTCATCTGGCGGCCCTGCCCC